AGGGTTTGAAAGTATGTGTTAGATAATGAAGCAGTTTGTGTACAAGAGTTTGATGGAACACATGAAAGAGTTTAGGTTGTTTCAATTATTTATTTTTTTTTTTTTTTTGTGGGGGGGGGGGTTAGATAATCAGAGAATCTCTAGTTTTTGGAAATTTCCACAGAACATCATAAACTATCACTAAAGCAAACGGACCCACAATAGGGTCATGTGGATAAGTTCCATTGATAACACTCAGATAACTACGGCCAATTAACCTGAAGACATTTCTGAGTTTTTTAAAGGCTGCAGGCAATTTAGCTGCAGTGAAGAAAACTATGATTCTGGTTCTAACTCTAGCTTGGTCTAAAACTGATACTGTCCTCCAAGTTCTCCACAAAGTGTTCCAAGCATATCTAAGAAGAATGTTTATCCATGTCAGGACACGGCTAACCAGGCTCCTCCAATAAGGTTCTAGTTCAGTTTGACCCGTAGGTTCCTGCTGGTTATCACTGTCCCTTTCAACCAGAACCAGTGGAGGACACCTGCAGCATCCAGGTGGGTCTGAGTCTGTCTGTGGTTTCCCTTCTGCAGATGGTTCAGAGACAGAAACTTCATCTGCGTTTGAATTAAAATCATCTCCCAGTAAATTCCTTACTTTGGCTTTTTCATCGTCTGGTTGGACGGCTGTAAGTGTAGCCGTTAGAAAATATTCAGGTTCTGTTTGAGTCCCAGTGGATTCATGGTGTCCATCAGGTTGAGAGACAGAAACTTCATCTGTGCTTGAATTAAAATCTTCTTCCTGCTTTTTCACTAGAAATAAATTCCTTACCTTGGATCCAATGCAGATATAGATGAAAGGCATGATTGATGATCAGTTGCTTCACCTAAATACACACAAGAAAATAACTTTGTAGTATGCAGACAATTATTGTTCTGATGTCCAATGAAACAAGCTAAACTTACCTGAGCTTGTTCACTAAGTGAATGAGCTGATCCTCTCTCCTTCTACTTCAAAGGTGTGACGTCACAGGCTGCCGCGCAAATTCCAGACAGTCACGTGACCGCAGAGGGCGTGGTTGGACAGGCTGTGGAGTGTTCTATGACAGCCCGACAGCCTGTTTATATGCAGTCGCAGATCGGGGCGTGGTCACGCACACATCTCTGCTGTGACGTCACTGTTGTTCTAAATGGGCGCAAAGAGCCCCGCCCACGCGCGTCAGCCTGTGGGCGGGGCCTGCTTTGAAGTAGAGGGCTATATAACTGAGAGGAGCAGCTCATTCAATCAGTAAATAAAAACCTCAGGAAAGTTTAGCTTGTTTCATTGGACATTAGAACAATAATATTCTTTATTCTACAAAGTTATTTTTTTTGTGTGTATTTAGGTGAAGCAACTGATCATCAATCATGCGTTCCCTTCGACGCTCTATTTCACCTCTTCTTAAATTTTATTATTCAGCCGAATCCACAGTGAACCCCGTCCCGGCCGTCCGTTCCGTCCACAGGAGAAGTCTCGCAGAAAAGCTGAAGCTGTCACCTCTGCTTACCAGGAACCAATCACTGAGAATTATCAGACCAGTGATCCAAAACCAGCCCCTGATGGACACCATGAATCCACTGAGAGTCAAACAGAACCTACACAGTTTCAAAATAATTGAAACAACCTAAACTCTTTCATGTGTGAAATTAAGTACTTAAATCTATATTTGTGTTTCATATTAACTTACAATTTCTCTTTGTTTTACTATCCTTAATAAACAGTCTGTGTTCTAACATCAGGCGCTTTATTTGAAATAAAACCTGCTATAATATGTTCCCCCTGTCTAAATAAGACAAAAAAAGGTCCCAGCTTTTTCATTCATCCTTCAATATGGTTCAATTATTATAAAAAATTTAAGATAGGTCTATGTTCTGCACAAAAGATTTTTTTGCATTATATCTTTCTCTGATAATCAAATGTAACCTCCTATTTTGAGCCCCATTCAGAATGAGCTCTTTTAGGGATCTGTCACTTTTTGTTAAAAGTGAGCTGTAGCTGTCTGCACCCTCCTACACAGGCCGGCCCTTTTTAAACACGAAAATGGCTACCGGTAGATGAACAACAGAACAACCACACATCTTTGACCCTGAATGGAACCCAGAAGAAGTGGAGGCTCCTGAACAACCAGCAAGTGAACGGTAAGTCATGCTCATTAAATAAACTTAAAAATAACAGTTATTAACATCTTAGATTTGCAACCTGTTGGAATAATTATGTATAAGATGCTTAATGTTTGTTCTTATGATGTATAATGTGTGACATATTACTGTTCCAGAGAGGTGTTGCACAAGCAGTATAGGTCAACTCTCAGGAAGTATTGCTCAAGCTTAACGAAACCAGGAGGTTCTCAGACCATTTGACCGCAAGACATTTAAATGCAAACTGACCTGTTCACTGAGGCTGCAAATTGAATTGTATTTCTTGTTTCCTATTCCTTTAGCGCCACCTCAGCTTGTGTAACTAGGGAGCCCCCCTCTGACTTTAATAAATAGCAAGGAGAAAGCTGAAGACCGGCAGAGTGGGGTGGAGATTTGTAAACTCTGCAGTCTCTTCCTACTTTCCTTGCAAGCAAAACTAAATTAATTGTCTCTGTGCCTTCTTTCTTTCCCTGTATATATGTATGATGTTTTAGGTTCTTAGACCTGACACAGAGACTTTATCTCCATGACCATCTA